TTCTATAGTCCAGGTGTACTTTCTATAGTCCAGGTGTACTTTCTATAATCCAGGTGTACTTTCTATAATCTAGGTGTACTTTCTATAGGAGGAAAGACAAAAAAACATGTTACGATAGAAATAATTACAAACAGGTAGAGTAGAGCAAGTAAAGAAGCAGCAGAGAGAGGACGTGTGGTCAGTTTGTCCTCCAGCAGTCTAAGCCTATAGCAGCAGGACTAAGGGATAACTCAGGAAACTCAAGCAGACCCTAACTATAGGATTTATCAAAAAGGAAAGTCTTAAAACTGGATACTGTGTCAGCCTCACAGACAGAAACTAGAAGTTGGTTCCACAAGAGAGGAGCCTGAGAACTGAAAGATCTGCCTCCATTCTGCTTTTGGAAACTCTAGGAACCACAAGTAAACCTGCAGTCTGAGAGTGAAGTGCTCTGTTAGGAAAATATGGAACAATAAGATCTGTAATATAAGATGGAGCTAGGTTGTTGAGGGCTTTGTAGGTTATAAGTAGGATTTTGAATTCAATTCTGGACTTGACAGGGAGCCAATGGAGAGAAACTAAAACTGGAGAAATGTGATCTCTAATATCAACGCTCAAATTAAAGCAACATGAAAAAACAAAAACAACAAAAAAATAAACTTTAGCAAAGAACTGCGAAGATATAAATTTCTGAAGTGATTACGAGCCATACAATTTGAATCTTTAGCCGCTTTTCAGCCTACTTCAGAGTTGAATCAAAGACTCGGTGAGTGTTTGTGGTGTGAGAACAGCCGAACGTTTTATCCTCCACACAGCCGAAGATGGATGGCTGATAACAGAACCTGCAGGCTCTCCAGTTGGCACAGGTCTGCATGTGTTCACTTGCAGCACTGCTCCAAAAAACATTTTCCTTTTTCAGTCGTCTCCTTGACCCAGAAAACACACACATCATGTGAACACACGCATACACACACACACACACACACGCACGCGTGCACACACACACACATCATGTGCTCACAGATTCATCAAATGTTAGCAGCAGAGCAAATAGAAAGCTGAGGGGTGAGAGAAAGTTTAGGACTGAAGACATTTCTCTGAAGGTTAGATTGTTTCTTCTCTTTAAAAAGTGGAACCAGAGGGTCAGTAAAACACGTTAAATACATTTCTCATATTTAGCTTCACTTCAGCTGCTGAAACGACCCGAAGCAGGACCAGCAGGGAGCCGAGGCTCAACAACGAGACGATTTCTGGTGAATTAGCTTTGATGTTCTCTGCTCCACATTCCCCCCGCCTGAGCTGGAGGTGCTGTCCCATACCAGCCCCCCCCCCCCCCCGTGATCTGACAGGGAGCCCGAGAGCTCGCCGCTGGGATGCATTATTCATCAGCGAGCCTGACTCAAAGCATCTCCTGCTTTCAGAGGAACTCTATTCCCCGTTAGGGACGGGAGAGTTTCAGATCCGTGTGAACTTCTGCAACTCATCCTGAGAGCAGCTGAATGTATTAACGCACGTCTCACAGGTACTGAGACAAACTTTGGTGTGGTAGTAGCTGACAGTCATTCACAAGCAGCAAGAAACCCTCAGAGCCTTCAGCACCTTCAGAGAAGGCCTAATGATTCAGCACATTATATTAAAAGTGTTCTAATCCTTATTTTATATAAAATAAACATTTTCACTGTAGGGTTTTTTGTTGTTGCTTATTTCTCTTATTTTCTGTAAACGACTTTTCAAATGGGTAAGATTTCTTATTTGTAATTTACAAGTATACACTTATCCTATCAGATTCTTCAAAAAAATTGTCTCTAGGCAGAAACAGGAGGAGCTGTCATTGGTTAGGACTTCACTGTCAGGAGAGAAGGCTGAACGCAGTCAGATGAGTTTGTTTAACTGACAGGAAAACTAACCAATTACGAGGCAGATATAAAGTGGGTGGGGCCAAAACAGGTCACTCAAGAGGACTTCAGGAAGGCCTTACGTTTCATGTTGGATTGGTATTTACATTCAAGTTGTTGTTATTGACCGTTTAAAAATGACACCGTGAGTCAGATGTCGTATGTGATGGATAAAGAGGAAAAGCCCCGCCTGTCAGCTGGTTGACGTTTTTACTGAAACTGAAGATAATCCTGATTTATCCTGATTTCAACTCGATAGAGGTCTTTGAAGTTACCACTGACTGTGATGTCACTTCATCTTGAGGCTTAGCTCCACTGGTCACAAAACGTACCCTGACTGACTGTTGGCCCAGTAGAAGCTGCTCAGAGCTGGACTTCATGGAAAAGCAGCAGAACAAAGACGTCAGTCAAACGAGTTTAAAGAATTTCTTTCCTAAACCTGTGGAAGAAGGTGTTGTGGTGTGATGGGACCAAATAGAAAAAACACACCACGTCTGAGACAAACCTCTCATCATGCTGACACCACCACCCCCACAGCGAGGCATGGTGGTGGCAACATCATGCTGTGGGGATGATTTTTATCAGCAGAGATTGGAAATCAGGTCAGCGTTAAAGGAATGGATGAATTCAGAGAAATTACAGAGAGGAGCTGACATTAAATCAGATTAAAATTAAATCAGATTAAACTTCTCCTGGTTTTAATAACAAGATAGATCATTTTTTTTATTCCTATCTTTAAAGTTATAAGTTTATAAATATTTTCCTGTGAGTGGGTGGCAGTTAGATTTTGGTCAGACAACTTCCAGCAGCTTCAAACAATAGTTTGTGGAATTTTGTCCCATTCCTTCCAACAGAACCGGTCTGAGTCGGGTTAGGCTGCTCTGGATGAGGCGACGATTGAAGCTTTACTCCTTATTGATTCCTTGCACTAAATCATCTCTGCTGTTGATGAAATGATTCACAGAAGTGTGATCTCAGATTAGAAACCAGTACAGTGCATGTGTGTGTTGACGTCAGAGCTGTGGGCTTTGGCTCTGGGGGTGTTGGACCCGGCTCGGTGTGATGCTGAGCAGCAGATGGCCAGGTTCTGTTGATGCTGCCACAGAGGACAGCCTTTGTCAGCTCACTCTTAAAGTGTGAGCCGAGCCAAACGTGCTGCTGGCTTCAGCTTCTACAACTCAAGTTTGGGGTTTTGTAAATTATAGTTTTGTCCAACACATGACCTACAATTTGTGCAACATTTAAATTTTATATTAAAAGTTACAATGGATTTTTATCTCCAACTGCCGTCGTAGCAAAGCATTTGATGAGCCACTCGACAGATGTTAAACTCTCGGAAATAAATCATTGTATGTATAAATTTGTGGGGGTTTCATTTAGGAGTAAATACAGTTCAAGATGGCTGCCACAGCTGATCCACATCACAGAAATGCACAAAACTGATAATGATAGATGCAGCTAAGCTTTATGTGTTGGGAGCTGAGACATCTTGGAAGATCTCGCAGGATCGCTTGTTTGTTGTTTTCCAGCAGGATAAAATTTAAAATAACATTTGACTATATTTATTTATAATTTTTATCATATTTATTTAATCAATTAATAATTATTTATTTATTTTTTATATTAAATTTTATATAATTTATCATATTTATTATTAAAATAAATAATTAATAATTTATTATTTATTTATAAATATTTAAGATATTTATTTTAATATAATATTTAATATAAATTGGATACAATGGTTAAATGTTTCCAGCATGATAAAATGATAAAATTTAAAATATCATTTTACTATATTTATTTATAATTTTATCATATTTATTTAATAAATAAATACAAAGTATTTTAATAATCAATAACAATAATAACTCATATTAATAATTATTATTTATTACATTTATTTATTTTTATATTATATTTATTATTATAACAAATAATTAATAATAAAATTATTTTATTATTTATAAATATTTATTTTAATATAATATTTAATATAAATTGGTTAAATGTATCCAGCAGGATAAAACTCGTTGTCCAACAAGTGTCTGTTTAAATCAAAGTGCTCAGAAATAGATTGTGACCACAGCAGCAGCAGAATCGCTCCTGAGACTCAGAGTCTGCGATTAGTTTCTCTCAAGGACAGACGGGACAGAAAATCTGTGAATTCTCGCCGAACTTGCGATCGTGTCGGTGGACGTGGAGCCTTATTTGTCTTCGAGCTCAGTGACAACTGCTGCCGTGGAGAGGCCGAAAGAAAAAACAAGTTATCACAAAACGGAAGAATCTGAAATATCACTGAAGCTGCATGTCGCCCACCAACGTGACGACGCTGTAACCTTCAAAATAAAGTTATGACTCGTGATCTTGCAGGATGTGATGCTCAGAGTATGTGTTGAGCATCACTCTCAGCTACTACCACAACAAAAGTTACCTCAACTTTTTGTCAAATTGATTAAACAGTAAATTGACTGTACTTATGTATCACCTTTCTATCTGATCAAGACACTCAAAGCTCTTTACAACAATCTGTGCCTCATTTACCTCCAACACACACATTCATACAGCTCTCTACTAGATCTATTCCAAGAATAATCAGAGCTTTAGATCACATTCATACATGGATGGGACACATCGGAGGCAATGAGGGGTTCAGTGTCTTACCCAGGGACACTTGCACATGTGACTGATGGTGGACTCGAACCCCCAACTCTCCCCCTGGAGGACAATTGCTCTACCCACTCAATGAGTTGTCTTTAGATGTATATTGGGGATAATTCTCAACAACCACCACACAAAACTTTAAAAACTGGCTGCCTTGGGGTACGCTAATTTGTGCTTCTACACATCAGTTGGTTGTGGCAGCCATCTTGAATTGAATTAACTCCATAAGTTACTGGGTTGTTTCTGAACGTCTGAATAAGATCCATCCAGAATTTCTCGAGATAATTTGGTAAATGTCTGAAACAGCTGACTCCATTAACTAAAGGCAAAATTTAAAAAACAGAAAACCAGATTTTGAACCATCGTTGGTATCTTATCCATGAGTTTGTGTTTTAAGTGTTTGCTAAAGTTAGTTAAAACACAGACATAAGGGCCGTGGTATCTCAGCGGTCAGCGCCGTGGTCTCATTATCCTGAAGCTGTGGGTTCGAGGTGAACCCAGGTCGAGCCTGGAAGGACATCCAGGAGAAAATAATTCCCAAATCTTTCATGCGAGAAAAGAACATTTAAACACAGATACAAGAAGAACATTACTGGGCAGCAGGGGATAAAGATGCCATTTGAGGAAACTATGCTTTCTAGTTTTTATTTTGTTTAAAATTATAGTTTCCTCAAATGATTGGGGTGGCCCAAGATTTATCTATGTTGGTCAAGGCCACCATTGGCCACCCCCTGGCTCCTCCATTTGGATAGATGGCTCCCTCCACTCGCCAGAATCCGTCACTCTGTGCCGCCTTGGAGAAGAAAAATAAATAGTTGGAAACACCGTCGGTCCGTCGGTGAATGCTCTGAGTGTGATAACATGAAAGAATCAGATACCGCCTTCCATTTTGGTGTGCGGCTACATCTAGGTGTTAGAAAGGTTCCTTTTGAGAACTGGCCACCAACACAACGTGTACATATATGTACAACATATGTAAAGTGAACACCCCTATCCTTTGAGGAAACTTTGCTTTCTAGTTTTATATTGTTTAAAAGTATAGATTCTTAAATTAATTGGGGTGGCCTTTCTGGTGCTAAAAACGAATCTTTGGCCACCAAGGCCACCATTGTCCCCAAAACCAGGTGTCTGAACTGAACGCGCTGTGCTCTCTGTGTGTGCAGTGACGGCTGGGCGGACCGGGTGGAGGTGGTGGAGGGTTACGAGCACGAGGCCGTGGGAGGCATCACCGTGAAGCTGCACTCTGAAGAGGTCTCCTCCTTCGACAATTACTTCCTGAAGCTCAAACTCGGCACGAACACCCGCAATCCGTGGTTCCCCGAGTTCTGGCAGCACCGCTTCCAGTGCCGCCTTCCCGGACACCCCCAGGAGAACTTGAACTATGCACGCAACTGCTCAGGTAGCTCAACAACTCGTTTCTATCCAGGTTGTGTTTGTGAACTGCGATGCATTCACTGCCCCGAGGACGAAGCCAACAGGCCTCAAAAAGTGGAGCAAAGTCTTTAAATATGAATCGGACTGCCCCACGGTTGAATTCTCTCCAGCTGAATAATATATTCTTTCATATTGTTCATTTGTTTGTTGCTTGGCTTCACAGAGGATGATGATCTAGGTAAATTAAGTACTTTTAATTTTCAAACATGCACTATTATTAATGCAGTCACTTTAGTCCTTGTTTTCTTGGCTCAAAGCTCAGAAGCATGTTTTTTAAAAACCTTGATTCGTTGCTCAGACATGGATCTTTTATTTTATTTAGTTTTTTTTTTAAATAGACGTATATTTACGTTTTAGTTCTCAACTTTAAGAATTCATATGAATGAAAATATTTTTTTAAATAAAATTAATTTTACTATTAAGAAAATAAGAACTGATTAACGTAAATATCAAAATTTTGCATGCGGCATAAACTCTTCTTTTACTTTTCAGCTGACTATTCAAAGTCTTGTCAGTTTAAGTTGCACTTTTTGTGTGAATCTTTATTTTATTCCTTAATAGAATTTTCTTTTCTTTCACCATACGCAACCTTTAAGCTTTAATTCATTTAAGGTATTACATTTTAGTAGTTGCTATTAGACCAGTGGTTCTCGAACTTTTCATGTCGTGTTGGAGGGGAAAAAATTAATTTCATCTTGTCAGCTGAGAGTTTTCTGACACAAACACATCTTTATTTTAATTTCCTTCCCTTTAATTCCAACAAACAGGATCTCCCCCTTCATGGTCTTTAATTGGAAGCAGCTTCTTTCTCTTCATCTCTGAGTCCACAGACAGGCAGGCACACATCGAACAAACACATATATGGAGAAATAATGCGAGCAGCGTATCATCAGCTGGTTTATAAACCAGCCACTAGGGAGCACCAGCCAGTGTATCTCTGGTTCTGGTCCCCAGCCCGGGTAAATGGTGAGGGTTGTGTCAGGAAAGGCATCTGACATAAAACCCTTGTGCCAAGACTGTAATGCGATTTCATCAAAGTGAAACCATACTGGATCGGTCGAGGCCCGGGTTAACAACGACCGCCACCGGTGCTGTTGACAAACAGGGTGCCGGCGGAAATTGTGCTACTGTTAGTTGAAGACCACGAGGAGGGAAACGTGTCAGGAGACAGAGGGAGAAGAGGAAAGTGAAGAATGTAGGACTGAGGGTTGCAACTCTAAATGTGGGGACAATGACAGGCAAAGGTAGAGAGCTGGCTGACATGATGCTGAGAAGGAAGGTAGATGTTTTATGTGTCCAAGAGACCAAGTGGAAGAGCAGCAAGGCTCGCAGCATTGGAGCAGGGTTCAAACTGTTTTACCATGGTGTGGATAGAAAGAGAGAAGGAGTAGGGGTGGTCCTGAAGGAGGAGTTGGCAAAGAATGTAGTAGAGGTGAAAAGAGTGTCAGATAGGGTGATGTGTCTGAAGGTAGAAAGAGAGGTAGAGAAGTATGTTAGATTGATACAGGACATGTATAAAGACAGCAGGACAGCGGTGAGATGTGCTGTAGGAGTGACAGATAGCTTCAAGGTGAAGGTGGGAGTGCATCAAGGATCAACTCTGAGCCCCTTCTTGTTTGCTCTGGTGATGGACCGACTAACAGATGAGGTCAGGCAGGAATCCCCGTGGACTATGATATTTGCAGATGACATCATGATCTGTGGTGAGAATAGGAAACAGGTGGAAGAGAACTTGGAGAGGTGGAGGTATGCACTTGAAAGAAGAGGAATGAAAGTCAGCCATAGTAAGACAGAGTCCATGTGTGGATGAGAGGGAGGAGGTGGAGCAGTGAGGCTACAAGGAGCAGAGGTCACAAAGGTGCAGGACTTCAAGGACTTGGGGTCCACTGTCCAGGAACATGGGGAGTGTGGTGAAGAGGAGAAGAAGAGAGTCCAGGCAGGATGGGGTGATGGAGAAAAGTTTCAGGAGTGATTCGTGACAAAAGTGTGTCAGCAAAGATCAAAGGAAAAGTTTACAAGACAGTGGTGAGACCAGTTATGTTGTATGGTCTGGAGACAGAGACATGGACAAAAAGACAGGAGACAGAACTGGAAGTGGCAGAAATGAAGATGTTGAGGTTCTCCTTAGGAGAGACAAGGATGGAGAAGATCAGGAATGAGATCATCAGAGGTACAGCACAGGTTGAACAACTGGGAGATAAAGTTAGAGAGGACACACTGAGATGGTTTGGACATGTCCAGAGGAAGGACAGTGGTTTGGACATGTTCAGAGGAAGGACAGTGGTTTGGACATGTCCAGAGGAAGGACAGTGGTTTGGACACGTCCAGAGGAGGGACAGTGGGTATATTGGTAGAAGGATGTTAGAAATGCAGCTGCAGGAAAAAGACAAAGAGGAGACATATGGATGCAGTTAGAGAGGACATGGAGGTAGTTGGAGTGAGGACAGAGGACACAGAGGACAGAGGAGGAGGACTCACTGTGGAGACCCCTGAAGAGGGAAAAGCCAGCAACACTTCCAGCAGCACTACAAATTGACTGACTCACTATGTGGTGAAAGAATAAACAACGTGACCTCAGCCAAACCCTTTAACATCATCCGGGTCTTGAGTTGTCTGGTGAGTAACGGGCAAAACTCACAGGCGGCGTCCAACGTGCGCCTCAAATTACTCTTTCAATCTTTTCAGCAGTGACCTCCACACCAGCGGTCGCTGCTCTGTGCTGCAGCGTTCAATGATATTTCTTGACATTTTTTTACTTTTAAGCATCGCTTCACCTGAAAAAATAAAATTTTCACTCCACACAGAAGACCCATCATCATAAGAGCAACGATAAAAACAGCCGGCGAGTCGTTGCTTAAATGTTTGGTTGTTTTAATAAGAGATAAAAACTATAAGGCTGACATTTATTTGTTTCAGCACACTTCCTAGATCTTTAGGATTTAATTGACATGACATTTTTTAAGGGGTCAAATGGGTGGACCAGTTTGAAAGCATAGTTTGTATTTCACAGACTTAAAACATATTTACATTAATGTTTAAACAACAGTTCCACCTATAACTTTTCAAAGACCAAAAATTAAAGTAGGAGCGGCCACGACATCGTGTCCCCCTCTAGGACCAGCGCCCCACGGTTTGAGAACCACTGTGTTAGACTAATGTTGATTTTTTTCTAATGGTTAGTCATTTTATTGTTTTTATTTTCCTATTTATGCATTTTTAAATTTATGTTGCTGTAGAACTCCAGGATGGTGAGTGATTTATTTTTCCTGAATGGGCTCATGATGCTCCTGACGTTAGAAATATACATGGAGGTTGACTGACATTAAGGTTCAGTAACATGGTGGGACAATTAATATTATTATTAATATTATTTATCATAATTAATCTCAGTGGACCTCTGATATATGAAGCTATTGGGGTGTTCTTTTTGGGATCTGAGAGCCCAATAATTGGGTCAGCTTGTGCTCTCACACCCTCTCCACATTTACGACGGTCACATGAAACAGCCCAATATCTGGCTGATTGAGCTGAAACTGCATGCTGGCTCAGAAACGGTGCGGTTGCCTTCATTTAGCACGGAGCAGGTCCGGTTGTCCTGCAGCCACGTCCTCCCGACGTGCAGCAGTGGGTCCTCTGCTTGCATGCTGACATCATAACATCACTGCATCATAGCTGCGTCTCACTCGGCTCAGAGAGAGCAGCGAGCGTCTGAACCAAGGAGCTGCTAAACTGGGTCATCAGCAGCTGCTGCACAGCTGAAGTCACTCTTTATGGCTTGTTTGCACAGGCAGCTGCTCTGAAGTGATTATTATTACAAGAGGCAATAAACGATGCTCATGAACAGGCAGGCAGTGGCTGCAGCAGGTGGATGAACGCCACTGATAATTAAATAACCAGGAAACTCTCAGACGAGGAAAAACTACAACAAATATCACAATATGGTTTAAATCAAATAACTATTCAAACACAAGCAGTCTTATAGAAATGCATATTGATCAGGAGGTAAATAAAACATTGTTCATGAAATAATTTTAAAATATATATATATATAAATTTCAATATCTAGAACAAGATAAAATTACTATTAATAATCTGCTTCTTTTTTATTATTTCATGCTTTTTTTATGTATAATTAGAAAAATGCCTCCAATTTCCCCCCTGGGATTAATCAATCAATCAATCAATCAATCAATCAATCAATCACTATCTATCTATCTATCTATCTATCTATCTATCTATCTATCTATCTATCTATCTATCTATCTATCTATCTATCTATCTATCTATCTATCTATCTGTCTGTCTATCTACCTGTCTGTCTGTCTGTCTGTCTGTCTGTCTGTCTGTCTATGTGTCTGTCTGTCTGTCTGATAAAGAGTGCTGCAGTGAGTTCAGTTTTTGAGTGAGGGGGTGAGATGTAGAAGTGTGAACTTGACTTCACACTTTTACACACATTCACGACAGCTGTACGATGCATCCCTGTGGAGACCAAATGTGACCCGTCACGTCAAACTCAGAATTAAGTTGGATTTGATCAAAACTAACGAAGCACGTTTTTAGATTACAGTTTTATTACTATTATTATTATTTTTTTACATTTTGACATCTTGACCACGACGAATGACGGGCTTGATTTGTCTTGGGGATAACTCCTGGAAAAATAACGTTTTTATTTCATACATTTTATAATTTGTTCCTTATTTTATGAGTTTTCTTGACATCATTTAAAGAATTAAAAAACTCAAACCATTTTTGGACATGAAGATTTACCAGCTGGAAAGTATTTCATTTTTGCTAACATGCAGGGAAAGTAGAAACAAATTTACAATCTTTTAGATTATATTCCAGACATTTCATTCAAGGGACCCAAAGATCATATTTTAACTAAACACAAATATTTTCAACCAATCTTCCATCCATCCATCCATCCATCCATCCATCCATCTATCCATCTATCCATCCATCCATCTATCTATCTATCTATCTATCTTGTTCTGGACTCAGGTCTCGGGGGCAGCATCTTGAGCAGGGAGGTCCAGACATCTCTCTCCACAGCCTCTTCCAGCTCTACTGAGAGGACTGCAAGGTGTTCCCAGACCAACTGAGAGACATAGTCTCTCCAGCGCTTCCTGGGTCTTCCCCGGGGTCTCCTCCCAGTTGGACATGCCCAAAACACCTCCCTAAGGAAGCATCCTTACCAGATGCCCTAACCACCTCCACTGGCTCCTCTGGATGTGGAGGAGCAGCGGTTCTACTCCGAGTCTCTCCTGATAACTGAACTTCTCCCCCTGTCTCTAAGGGAGAGTCCAGCTACCCTGCAGAGGAAACTCATTTCAACCTCCTGGATCCAAAAAACGTTCAATACAAAAAACCTCCTGTATCCACGATCTCATTCTTTCAGTCACTACCCAGAGTTCAGGACCAGAGATGAGGGGAGGAACGTAGAACAACTGGTAAATATAGAGCTTTGCTTTACAGCTCAGCTCCCTCTTCACCACAACGGACCAGTACAGAGTCCACAATACTGCAGATGCTGCACCGATCCTTGTTTAGGGACCGAACAGCCCGTAGCACCAATCTGCTTCAGCTGCCTAAATCTCTAAATACCACTTTGCAACTTAACGCTTTGTTTGAAGTGATGGGTCACACATATGATTGTAAGACAGCATTAATCTTTTTATAGACATGAAAAAATAAAATATCTGCAGAATTCACAAAAAAACCTGTTTCAGTGCAGAACTGCTGAAGCTTCCTAAAGAAACAGAAACTGAGTTGATAAAACTACATCAAATTAGGTAAAACAATAGCTAAAAGCTAAAAGGAGAAAGTGCTAACTAAAAATAGGAAAACACTAACTAAAAACTTAAAGTAGCAAAAAGCGGGCTAAAGCAAAAAGTAGAAAATTGCTAGGAAAAAGCTAAAATTAGCAAGCACTAGCTAGAAATAGCAAAGGGCTAACCTAAGGCTAAAATTAGCAAAAAGCTAGTCAAAAGAAGCAAAAGGCTAGCTAAACAGGATATCTATTCCTTCAAAAACAGCTAAACTTTAAATTATTTTTGATAAGGTGACATGGTGAAGGTAAAGAGTGGTGTACAGTGTATAAATTTAATTCATGTTTATAACTTGTGCAATAAAAACAGTTTTAGCTCCAAGACGTCAGTTTCTGACCACAGTTTCTTATTTGAAAACACCTTGCAAGCATGGTTAAATGTTTTTTAAAAAGAAAAACACCTTAATTTCCTGTCAAACAGACAGTGTATGTGTGGTTTGCTGTTTTATCAAAATATAAAAAATAAAGCTGCTTTGCTTTCAGCTTGCATTACACTGAACTGATAGGGTGTGTTAGAAAAATCCCGCGCTGCTGTAATCATTTTTGTTTCGTACATTTATACTTTTTACTGTAAATTAAAACTATGAAGAACATTCTGTGGGTTTTTCCTGCTTGAGCAGGACGCAGAATCTCAGCAGCGAGGCCGTTTGAGCGTGTTAGACCGACCCTAATTGAATCCTGACTCATGCATCTCTCGCCATGGTAACGAGGCTTCTTTGAAGCCATTTTCTGAGACTGGGCTCATTAACAGCCGTCTCCCACAGAGCCTGACATGCTTGTTTCCAGCTGCTTGAACTGAAAGTTACAAGACTGCGCCCAGAAGCACCCTATCACTCCTTTGTAATATTTTACATCATGCTAGACAACCTCTTTGGTACATCTGAAAATAAAGAGCTAATCAAGTCATTTAGAGGATGTTTTATCTAATAGTTATCAAAAGTTAGTGCCCGGCTAGCAGTGACATCGGTCATGGAGCATGGATCGTGGAGAAAAGGGCAGAAGTTTTTGTTTTCCAGGATATCTAACAAGGTTAAGTCAGGTCCTCTGGATGGATTCTTCTTGTTCTTCTTGTCTTTTATCCAAAGAACTTCTTCAGTCTGAGGAGCTGCAACAAACTCAGTCTTATAAATAGCACCTTCGCATAATGGATCAACCAGTTTGTTGTTGACATCCAGAACCAGCTGTTCACATGTTAAAGGAGGAGCCTCAGCCTAATGACTGATCATTAATGCTCTGATGGCCGTTTGCTATTCTCAGGGGCTGAGTGTTACTAGCAATAACAGCATTGTAAGAGGGGGGCAGTTGGACATGGAGGCTCCACCCCGTAAATGATGGATGCCCCTGTTTAACGGGGGCGGAGACCTCCATGTCCACTTGTCACTTTCTTACAATGCTGTTATTGCTAGTATCACTCAGCCCTCTGTGAATAGCAAGCGAGCATCAGGGCACTAACGATCAGTCGTTAGTCTGATGGTCCTCCTTTATAATGTGAGCAGCTAGTTCAGGCTGTCAGCAACAAACTGGTTAATCCACTATGATAATGTGATATTAGTAAGACTGAGTTTAGTGCAACTCCTCAAACTGAAGAAGTCTTCTGGATAAAAAATGAAATGTTTCAACAAGAAGAATCTATCCAGAGGACCTGACTTTACCTTGTTAGATTTTTCTACCAGGATTATTGAGCATGCATCAGGATATTTTTCCCAGGATAAATTTTAGTTGTCGAGAGAAGAGGCAGTTCTTTAGACTGAACAGTTTGAAAAAACCCTGGACAAGACGTGTCAGTCATTCTGCAGCCTCGGCACCAACAGAACGGGCTCAGGCTCCCCCCCGGTCTTTCTGTGTGTTTATCCAGGTACTTTCCTCCCACAGACCTAAAAAACCCTTTAAAATTGACACTTTAAAATTGTCCCTAGGTGTGAGTGGGAACACGAATGGTGTGTCTCCGTGTCCCTGGGATGGACTCTGCCTCTCGCACGGTGAGAGAGAGAGAGAGGCGTCAGCTCTCCACAAGCTGCACAGAAAAAAGCCTGACACACTACATAAATTGGGTTCTCCTTTCCTAGCCATTAGCGTAGCCTGGATGAAGTTCTCGATGCTCAATGAATTATGTCACGGTTCATAACTTTTGATAACTACTGGACAGAAAATAACTTCAGAAATGACCAGACTATCCCTTTAGAAAGCCACATAGAACATGCTACTGCTTGCAGCAACGAGCACTCCTGAATGGCTGTGAATTCACACGTGCAGTCTTGAGGATGAACTCTTACAGTTGTCTCATTTGTGGGCAGGTTATGAAAGTCTGGAGGACAACTATGTCCAAGACAGCAAGATGGGCTTTGTCATCAACGCCATCTACGCCATGGCCCACGGTCTGCACGACATGCACTCCGATCTCTGCCCTGACCACGTGGGGCTCTGTGAGGACATGAAACCGGTGGACGGAAGCCACTTGTTGGACTTTCTTCTCAAGACGTCCTTCACAGGTGTGTCTGGGGAAGACATATGGTTTGACGAGAATGGAGACTCTCCAGGAAGGTAAACCTCCTATTCTTCTTGTTTTCAAAAAAAGTTTTATGTTATTCCTCTTTTCTGGAGAAAGGGAAGTCACTTTTAAGACAAGAAAACTAGAACATGTTTGTGTCCCTGTGTGTCCATCCATCCATCATCTTGACCCGCTTCTTCCTTTTTGGGTCACGGGAGGTCACTGGTGCCCTGATCCAGCCATCACTGTGCGAGAGGCAGGGGACACCCTGGACAGGTCTCCAGTCCATCTCAGGGCCACAAACGAGACAAACAACCATTCACTCTCTCTCACACAATCCAGAGTTACCAGTCAGCCTAATGTGCATGTTTTTGGTCTGTGGGAAGAAACCGGAGTACCCGGAGAAAACCCACGCAGCACGGAGAGAACATGCAAACCCCACCCTGAAAGGTCCCCGGCCGGGATTCGAACTTGCGATCTTCTTGCTGAGAGGCACCAACTCTACAACTGATCCACCGTGCCGTTATCTCATAAACCATTGGACAAATTTCACTGAAACGCTCTGAGTACTCAGTGACGGTGCATCTACAATTAAATGACTTTTACAGTTCAAGATGGCTGCCACAGCTAAGCAAGCAGTGAACACAAAAATGGCTGTACGTCAGTGAATCTTCCAGATACCAGCTTATGTTTTCAGTGATAGTAGCCAAGAGTCACTCCAAGTGCTACTCATTTGTGCAAGACCCACTCAAGAGTTTAACAAGTCCATTGTCTTTGTCTTGTGCGTACGGTAAATGTGGCATTTAATAAATTCCTATTTTTATTATCTGATAAAAACTTGCTACTAAAAGGATTTATGAGCCTCTGTCATCTCCCCACTCTGTCCTTCTTGTTCCTCTTCAGGTATGAGATTATGAACTTTCAGCGCATCGAGCCTGGCGTTTACGACTACATTAACATCGGCTCCTGGCACGAGAGCGTTCTGAGCGTTGATGACGACATGATGCAGATGAACCGCAGTGACATGGTCCGCTCAGTCTGCAGCGAGCCCTGCTCCAGAGGAGAGATCAAGGTCTCGTCTTTATGTGCTCACACCAGTCATTTCTTGATGACAGTACACTGCTTATTAAAGGAAAATATGTAAAAACTCTTTATACAAAGCTTATACGTTGCAACTAATTGCTTTATTTGTACTAATGACTCACATACTTAAAATTCCCTTATTTTTTATTGTCCTGTTTGTATAAGTTTATAATGCTGAGTCATCTTTCACACTTGTTTTTCTTTTTCTGCTTTCTTCTGTACGTCTTTGGACTCTTGGCTTTTTGAGCATACTTTCAGCTGTTTCAGCCATTCAGCTATCATAACGTTCAGCTCAGTCGGGCTGTTGCAGCTATAACTTTTGGTATTTGCAACTTTCATAAATTTTCAGTTTTGTACCGTTATTTTCTTTGCTTTGAGATATCTCAAGCTCCTTCCAAAGCTGAGTGCTCTTTGAAAACACATTTAGAATGCTTGCTTCATTTGTAACATTTAGCTACAGTTTTACTAGTTTTAGCTGTTAGCCACTGTTCTGATAAATTTGCTTCTAACTACTGTTTTGTTGGGGACGGCCTAGAAAGGCACCTATTATCCACCTGAAAAGGGTCTTGCTCTTGAATCAACTTTAATGTGGCCCGAATCGCAGTGTGTAGTGTACCCCACAAATATATCAAAACGACCGGCTCGGCACCAAGATACGCGCTGTTACTTTTAATAGCAAGTTACCATGGTGACATAATTTGCAAACAAAGACACCATTTTTCATAGAAGAACACTGACAGAACTCTTAACCAACTCTAATTGTTACAGTGAGGTCAAATGACCTAGAGTCAAGAGGTGCCTGAACAGCACTGATTAACTTTTGGAGCCATTTTGGTTCAAGATGGCTGCCGCAGCTACCTCATAAAACTCTAAATTGACTATAAATCAGTCATTCTTTGAGATATTGAGCTGAAATTTGGTTTGGTCGTAGCTTCACGCGAGTTGTTATACATTACTAACGCAAATTTAAAAATCCAAGATGGCCTCCTTAGCTAAGAGGGAAGATGTTGAGCTGAAATTTAGCGTGGTGGTAGCCAAGATCCAACCCCAGCACATAGTACTGTCGAATCAAAATGTTATAATGGCCGCAATGTGGCAGTCCCCGTCAACTTTCTGCAGGAACTTTCTAGTTCTTTTTACTATTAGCTACTTTAATATTTGATTTTACCTTTTACTTGCTGTTTAGCTGGTCTTAGAGTCTAGCTTATATTTTGCTAGTTTTAGCTTTTAGCTACAGCTTAGCTAGTTTTAGCTGTTAGCCACTGTTCAGATAAATTTAGTTTCAAACCACTGTTTTGTTATTTTTGCTATTAGCTACATTAATATTTGATTTTACCTTTTACTTACTGTTTAGCTGGTCTTAGAGTCTAGCTAATATTTTGCTAGTTTTAGCTTTTAGCTACTGTTTTGGCAGTTCTAATTTTTAGCTACTGTTCTGCTGGTTTTAGCTTTGTTTTGTCACTTGTAGTTTTTGTATCAGTTAAAATATAATAATTACACAGTTTGCCACCGTTATGTTTAATCTCTAAATCTGGATATGTCAAAACTAAGAGGAAATTTTTCTACATTTATCTTTCTACAAATTCTGCAAATTAGTTTTCTACTAAATGTGTCAACCTGACAACCTCCACACTGCAATCTTGCAGGCATCTTTTCAAAACGTTTAAGTAAATAACCAAATCATTTTTTCTCACCGTTAAAATGAACTTGTCCTGTTTCCTGATGTCTGCACTTTTGCTGAGCTCTAAAACAGATGGGGTAGTTAGTCCGTCCCCCTCCCACTGTAATAATAATAATAATGTTGATTTTCTTTGGTATATTTTATTAACCAGGTCATCAGGAAGGGAGAGGTGAGCTGCTGCTGGATCTGCACGTCCTGCAAAGACAACGAGTTCGTCCAGGACGAGTTCACGTGTAAAGCCTGTGAGCTGGGCTGGTGGCCCGACAGGGAACTGGAAGGTGCGTTTGTCCTCCGTTCACCTCTGCTTACGTCGATAATTAACATTTATATTTATTTAAGGGGTGTTGTTAGACCTGTAGTACTCAAACACTCAATGTTTTTTAACCCCCCAAAATGTAGAAGTTTGGTATTCACCCCATCATCACCTTTGATGGTCTCTGTTTCACTTAGTGTTGCTGTTCGGACACTTTGTCTCTTTTTCTAAATCTTTCTTTGAATTCAAACATTAAACTGGTGTTAAAATCAACCTTTTTGCCCCCCATCGTGGATCAATCCGGGGTTTTGGAAATACCCTCCATCTGTCCATGCATGTCCATTCTCTGACGTCTGTTGCTTTAAATCACAAAATCACCTTCTGCCATGACATAAACCGTTCTGATTACAGCAGAGAGGTTCATTTGAGTAGTTTTGGTTTTCAGGTGAAAACTGAGAAAGAAGTATTTTATTGTGCCGCATGTGTTCCTGCTGCATGATGCCTCCAGACGTAAGGAGATTCCTCTGACTTACACGAGTGAAAGTTCCTCTAAGCTTTTGCATCTCCTGCCCCCTCCTCGCTGTCAATATTTTACCCCGTACAGCTTGTCCTTTTTTACAAACCTGCTCTGTCCTATTTTCATTGGTTTCCCATGACACCTGAGAGCACATTCATCATCCTCACCATTTCATCCGAAAGGAGCTCTACTTCACTGAAAACTCCTTTGGCCCACTTTAAAAAGCCTCGTACGCCTTTCAGACACAGGACACTGTCCTAACACCATACACGCACTCACACATGGACGAATGGATGGATGCATACATTTAAATATTAAAATACTTATTTGTTCTTAAAAGTAAAAAAAAAAATCATTTTCACACATTTAACAATAAGGTAAAACATTTAAAGTAAAATAACACTGTACAATAAAGTAGTATTAGCCAGTGGCGATTTTAGCCTCTTTTGGGGGGGCTGAAGCCCCCCTAAATTTTAACTCTGCACCCCTGAAAAATAAAGAAACCATCATTAGGATTTTGTAAGAAAACTCAATTCTCGAACCTTTGATTCAATAAAATATGGAATAAATATGGAATAAATGATGACACTCTTAAATGGACCAGTAAAATCTATGATTTATTTATTTTTTTTTTTTTTTGGCATGAGTCAGATCCGCCACCTGTCAATCAATCCAGTAGGCTCATCAGCAGCTGACCAGTCAGATGACAGAAGTGGAGTGTTTACAAATGTAGATGAACATTGATGTTTAACAACCCGTTAAAATACACCAAAATGTAGGAAATCACATCATCGACAATTTTGACGTGTTTATTTATTTATTTATTTTTGTAAATACAGAAGTAATGTTTAATAAATGTTAGGACTATTGTGAGAATGCGCGTCCTCTGGGGCTCCCAAAATTATTGTTATTGGTTCATGATATATTTTGCTAACGCTAACCAACACACAAGCAAAATCATTATTGCCGCTCTGCCTTTGGCTGTGTGCAATAATAATGTGGCTCATCATGTTGACACAAGAATGTTCTTGTACGTTCTTCTTCCTCTAACCTTTCTGCCACTGTACACCAAGAAGAAACCAGCAGTTATGAATTATAGAGACATTGTGAGTGGATTCTTAGCATGAAGCAGAATGGGGATCTTAGTTGGGTCTATGAAATATGCAGTTATTTACTTTGTCCTGCTTCCTCTCTGCTCTCTGCTGGCTGCAGCTCAGACCGGCCGTGGCTGAGCTGAAAGGCATTTATTTATAGTTGAGCTAAAAACCTACTTTGGGACTTAGTGTATTTTATCCAGCTAAGAAAAAGCCTCTGGTTCATTGTTAATGTATCCATGTAAAATAACCTGAACGTCTTCACATCTCACTGAAAAAGGCCTCTTGTGTATTTACTTCTCAGTTTATTGTTAAAAATAATCAGACTACTTAGCTTTTGTCAAGATAAGGCAACACTTATCATCTACTGAAAAGTGCGTGTGGTGATAGCGTCTGTGTGTGTTCATGTGTGTGTAGATAGTCAAGTCAACTTTATTTATAGAGCACATTTAAAACAGAACCTGTTATCAAAGTGATATATATATATATATATATATATATTTGTGTGTGTGTGTGTCTTTTTCTTTCATCTTTCCTCTTCAGGGGTCTCCACAGCGAGTCATCCTCCTCCATCTCACTCTGTCCTCTGTGTCCTCTGTCCTCACTCCAGCTACCTCCATGTCCTCTCTAACTGCATTCATATATCTCCTCTTTGTCTTTTACTGGCAGCTGCATTTCTAACATCCTTCCTTCTCTGCATCATGTCAGCCAGCTCTCTACCTTCCTTCTCTGCATCATGTCAGCCAGCTCTCTACCTTCTTTCTCAACATCATGTCAGCCAGCTCTCTATCTTCCTTCTCGACATCATGTCAGCCAGCTCTCTACCTTCTTTCTCGACATCATGTCAGCCAGCTCTCTACCTTC